CGTGGGGCAGCCAGTTACGTGGTCACAGAAACCTGAGCAGGGCAATGGGCAGGGCAAACACGCACTTGGCAGTGCAGAGGACCTAGAGCTCCGGGGGCCAGGAGACAAGCAGTGAGAAGATGGCACCTCCCCGGACTCCGCAGGACCTCTAGTACCTTTCAGGTACTTGGATATGTTATTATGTGAAAAAATTTTTTTGGTTTTTGAGACAGAGTCACGCTCTGTCACCCAGGCTGCAGTGCAGTGGCGCGATCTCAGCTCACTGAAACCTCTGCCTCCTGGGTTCAAGTGATTCTAATGCCTCAGCCTCCCGAGTAGCTGGGATTACAGGCACGTGCCACCACATCTAGCTAATTTTTGTATTTTTAGTAGAGACAGGGTTTCACCATGTTGGCCAGGCTGGTCTTGAACTCCTGACCTCAGGTGATCCATCCACCTTGTCCTCCCAAAGTACTGGGATTACAGGCGTGAGCCACCACACCCGGCTGAAAGAATTTAATAAGAAAATCATTAACATGGCCAGGCGCGGTGGCTCAAGCCTGTAATCCCAGCACTTTGGGAGGCCGAGATGGGTGGATCACGAGGTCAGGAGATCGAGACTATCCTGGCTAACACGGTGAAACCCTGTCTCTACTAAAAAATACAAAAAACTAGCCAGGCGAGGTGGCGGGCGCCTGTAGTCCCAGCTACTCAGGAGGCTGAGGCCGGAGAATGGTGTAAACCCGGGAGGCGGAGCTTGCAGTGAGCTGAGATCCGGCCACTGCACTCCAGCCTGGGCGACAGAGCAAGACTCCGTCTCAAAAAAAAAAAAAAGAAAGAAAATCGTTAACATGTAAATGTGTAAATCCTTAATTTAAAAAGGGACAGAAGCCCTGAAAGACGTACCTCAGGGCACTAACTGTGCTCACTGGTTAGGAGTGAGGGCCTTGAGTGGGAGCTTCCACCCTACTGAACGGTGCTGCTGCAATATCTAAATTATTTTCCAGGATATTGTATCTTATAATTTATTTTGAAACAGGGTCTTGTTTGTTGCCCAGGCTGGAGTGCAGTGACTCTATCATATAGCTCACTGCAGCCTGGATTCCTGGGCTCAGGCGATCCTCCCACTTTGGCCTCTCCAGCTGCTGGGATTGCAGGTATGAGCCACTGTGCCTGGCCCAGTATTGTGTCATTTTAAAAACTCAAGAAGGGGTAACATAGTTGTCTGTAATCTTACAAACCACTGTCAACAGAGCACATCATTTTCTCTCTATGTTAGTGTTACAATTAAACCCTGAATCAAGTGTGATTTTGAATCTTTTCTTCCTAGTAAACAAGCCAGCCCAACACAGCCAGCACACAATGAACAAGCCACGGCTCTTCGGTTTCTCCCACGGGAGCCTCTGCCAAGGCCATAACTTCCAAAACACCAAAACTACTGGGAGAGGAAATCCTTGCAAATAATTTCCAGAATGTTTAGAATAACAAATCCTGAGCCAGGTGCAATGGCTCACAGCTATAATCCCAGCACTTTGGGAGGCCGAGGCAGGCAGATCACTTCAGGTCAGGAGTTTGAGACCAGCCTGGCCAACATGGCAAAACCCCGTCTCTACTACACATACAAAAAAAATTAGCCGAGCGTGGTGGCAGGCGCCTGTAATCCCAGCTACTCAGGAGGCTGAGACAGGAGACTTGTTTGAACCCGGGAGGCAGAAGATGCAGTGAGCCAAGATCACCCCACTGCACTCCAGCCTGGGCGACAAGAACGGGACTCCGTCTAGGGGAAAAAAAAAAAAAAAAAGGCACGGCATGGTGGCTCACCTGAGGTCAGGAGATCGAGACCAGCCTGGCCAACGTGGCAAAACCCTGTCTCTACTAAAAATACAAAATTAGCCGGGTGTGGTGGCGTATGCCTGTCATCCCAGCTACTAGAGAGGCTGAGGCAGGAGAATTGCTTGAACCCAGGGGATGGAGGCTGCGGTGAGCCAAGATCACCCCACTGCGCTCCAGCCTGGGCGACAGAGCGAGACTCTGTCTCAAAAAAATAAGTAAAAACTAACAAATGCTGTGTTTTAGTTAAATTATGCTTTTCTCCTGTTGTTCTCAATAAGAGTAGGGTGCACTCTCCCCACCACAGCTGCAACAAGTACAATGTCAAACTCTCCACCCACGGGCTGCTGAAGCCCTGTGGGGTCAGGCCCAGGAGAGTTCCATTGGGGCCCCCATGCCACCTGCTTGAGCCCTGCCACACTGCTCAGCTCCCTCCTCGGCTGGGTCCTGCCACTGGATCCCAGGCAGCAAAATCCCCGCCTCAGGAAACCCAGCCTGTTGCCAGGTGGGTTGCCCAAGCATCATCTGAGGGCCTAGGCATGTGGATTTTCAGAGTTCCTGGGAACGGCACACAACTGGGGATGGAAACCAGCGTCCTAGAGCCCAAGTGTGCCCCAGCTACAGCAAAGGAGGGACGCGGGCCTTGGGGTTCTGAGGGACCGTGGAGAAGGCAGTGTGGTGGCAGCCTCAGAAAGCCCAAGGCCACCTGCACATGGGGGTGAGCCCTCGAGGGGGCTCCTCGCTCACCCACCTGCACCTGCTCCTCAGTGGTCTTCTCCATCCCACTGTGGCCCTCGTCACTGAGGGCTCCGTCCTCTCCCTCCTCGTTGCCTTCGTCATCATCCTCACTGCTGTCACTGCCGGAATCTTCCAGGCCTGAGAACACACTCTCCTCGCTGTCGGAGACGCCAGAATCGCTGCCAGTGCTGTGGCTGAGCGGAGAGGTGCAGAGGAGAGGAGGCTGCAAGGAAACACTGGGTTGGTGACAACTGCCCCTCCAGGCATGGGGCGCTGAACACTGCAGGAAGAGCTGCCTCTCACCCCTCCAGGCACCCACCAGCAGCTCCATGCAGCCTCCAGGACCACATCCCTCTAGTCACAAACTTCCACCAAAACCATCCACCCAACCTGAGCCTTCCTCATCTTCTACCTCCACTGATAAGACAGACTCCTGCCTTTGGCATCGACATTTTAATTTCTAGCACCTCACGGGGAAGGGGCTTTTCAAGGACAACCTCCTCCTCTTGGAGCTCAGCTCTCAGCACAGAACTCACACTGCTCTCTACCGCCCACTGCCGCTCCAGAGGCCCTGTGGGGTCAGGCTGGGCTGGACTCCACTGGTTCCCTCACACAGCCTGCCTAAGCCCTCTCCACACCTCACCCTGGCATCCAAGGCCCCAGAGTCATGAGGTCACTAGAAAAGGGGCTGGGGGCTGGAAGAGAACCGGGGTCCCCAAAGGGCTTTTACCACCTGCAGCAGAAGCCTCCTCATTTAACCAGATTGGGACCAACCATTGATCAGCAAAATGAAAGGACTGGCTGACGAGTCACAGGAATGACAGACTCCAATTGCAACCACACACCAACCCACCCATTCCTCTCTCTGAGCAGAGCCCTGCTGGCTGCGTGACACCAGCACACACAGTGTTTAGGTCCTTCACTGGCCTTAAAAAGTGGAACAAGAACTTAGACTCAGGAAGCAGCTGAAGGCCAGGGACAGTAGCTCATGCCTATAATCCCAACACTTTGGGAGGCCGAGGGGGGTGGATCACCTGAGGTCAGGAGTTCAAGACCAGCCTGGCCAACATGGTGAAACCATCTCTACTAAAAATACAAAAATAGCTGGTGGTGGCAGGTACCTGTAATCCCAGCTACTCAGGAGGCTGAGGTACCCGGGAGATGGAAGCTGCAGTGAGCCGAGATTGTGCCACTGCACTCCAGTCTGAGCAACAGAGCAAGGCTCTATCTCAAAAAAAAAAGAAAAGAAAAGAAAAGAAAGAAAAAGAAAAAGGAAAGAAAAGAAAATGGAAGCAGTTGAATGTAGAATTCTAGATTTTACTGCTTTCCTAATAGTTTACAAGTCTCACTTAAGGTACGACCTGGATGTATTAGCTATTGCATACTGAGTGTTCACACAATGCCTCTCTCACACAGTCATGATGTGTCTTGGTACTCAGTCAGCTACACAACCACAATAACTAGTGGAAATGGCATGCATGGCCTGAGCACAAACAACTGGCTCCTGAAGAGCATTTAACTCAAGGGTGCAAGCAGCAGAACCTGGCGCCTAGAGCGGCCTGCGGGCCGTTCAGCCCATGGGAACCAGGATTAGTTGAGTTCGCTTCACAAAGCAATGGGGCAGTTTCAACAACCCAACGCGGCCGAGGGGGCTGTGAGAGGCTGGCTGTCCATTCCCTCCACCACCCAATTTGACGATCCCCACAACCAAGACGGGGCTGAGCTGGCAGAGGGCAACAGTGAGTTCTGATACAACAAACGCAGCAGACTCTGGGTTCTATTCAGGTTTTCTTATTCTCACGTCTATCCCATGAGCATAAAAACGTGATTAACTAGCGCATAAGTAGGTTAAGCATTTACTGGGGGCGCAAGCCGAGCCCTTTTACTGGCAGGACGCACAAATGGAACGGCCGGAGAGGCTGCTGCAAGGGGCGCTTATCCCCACTCCCTGCACCCCCGTTTCTTTGCTTCCCGGACGCCGTCCTTCACCCTGCAGTCTGCTCTGCCTAAGACCCCCCGATAGAGGAGCTGCGCCCACGCCCAAGGCCGATTCACTGGGCACGGGCGCCCAGGTGACAGCAGCCGGGCCCACCCGCCCCAGCGCGGCCACGTGCCCGCTGGGCCTTCTAGGGACGCGCCTCGCCGCCCCGCATTGCCGCAGTCACCTCTGGCTCGGGCTCAGGCTCCAGTTCGGGCTCCGACCGCCGCTTCTCCGGCCGCACGCTTGGCGCCGCCGTGCGCCCCGTGCCCCGCGAACCCGCCATGTCCCGCCGCGCGCCGGCCGCGACCCGAACAGCCGCTTCCGGCAGCGACACGGCCGCGTGCGCAGGAGGACGCGCCCCGCCCAGCCCGGCCCCGATTGGCGGGCGGGGGGGGGGGGGCGGGACCAACACGCGCAGGCGCGCGGCGGGGCCGGGGGCCGGGGCGGGGTCGGGGCCTGCGTGCTCGCGCCGGGGGGGGACGCGAGAGGGCGGCAGCGGCGGCGGCAGCGGCGGGAGCGCGCCCGTTGCAAGATGGCGGCGGCCATGCTGGGCCTTGGGGCTGTGTGTGCGCAGCGGGCGGCGGCTCGGCCCGGACGGCTGGCGCGGCAACGGCGTTAGCCCGGCCCTCGGCCCCTCTTCGCGGCCGCTCCCTCCGCCTATTCCCGCCTTGCCCGAGATGGATCTGCCCGTGGGCCCCGGTGCGGCGGGGCCCAGCAACGTCCCGGCCTTCCTGACCAAGCTGTGGACCCTCGTGAGCGACCCGGACACCGACGCGCTCATCTGCTGGAGCCCGGTGAGGGCAGCGCGCGGGCGCGGGGCCCGTGGGGACCGGGAGGGAGCAGGGCCGCGGTGGACGGCGCGGGAGGGCTGCGGGGAGGGGCCCTGCCACACCTCGGCTTACGCGCGGGGAGCCTGCCCTGCCCCCGCCAGGAAGGGCGGCGGGTCCCGAGCCTGCCCAAACGCAGAGCCTTAAGTTGGGAAAGCGGCTGCGAGACCCACACCCGATTGAACCGCTGCCCCAGCGAAGTTTCCCTGGGATGGGAGAATGGGGCGTCCCTTGCATCGGGCTTCTGCTAACTGTTGGGCGGTTGCGGAAGTGTCCGCGCTTAGGGCAAGCACCCGGCTTCGCCAGCGGACGCTGTGCTCCAGAGGACATCGGCGTCCCCGGGGGACGGCCTACGGGGTGCTGGGTCGGCAACTATTCGGAGAAAGTCAGGACTTGGCACGTGAAGCGGAGGGCGTCGCTGTAGTGGAAAAGGAAAGGCAGTGGAAACAGAAAGTAAGACGTCATGAAGCTTCAGGTTAATCTCAAGCCCGTTTCCGAATCCCAAATCTGGGTTTCCCAGGAGGAGTTTTGTTTTTCATTCCTTGTGGGGCGTCTTTACTCGTGTCTTTATCTTCAGTTGCCTGGCAGCAGGCTTGTTTACACGGTCCGACCCTGCAAGACCGGACAGCTCCGGTTTGCAGAAGTAAATCAGTGATTGTCTGGAGTTGGAGATCAAAATCTGCTGTTCACATCCCGGCTGTGACGTCGTGTCCGGTGAGGGGCAGAGCCACAGCCTGTGGCTGGCAAGTGATGGCCTGAAGAAAGGCCACACTGGCCGAGCGGGGTGACTCTTTGCTGTGAAAGCAGCACTTTGGGAGGTGGCGGCGGGTAGATCACTTGAGGCCAGGAGTTCGAGACCAGCCAAGACAATATGGCAAAACCCCGACTCTACTAAAAATACAAAAAATTAGCCGGGCGTGGTGGTGCTTGCCTGTGGTCCTAGCTACTTGGGAGGCTGAGATAGGAGGATCCCCTGAACCTGGGAGGCAGAGGTTGCACTGAACCGAGATTCCACCACTGCACTCCAGCCTGGCAAAGAATGAGACCCTGTCTTAAGAAAAAAAAGAAAAAAGAAAGGCCACTGATCACTGGGAGCTTTTGGAGGGACCGTGACAGGCGGGATGCCACCAAGCTTGTGTGGCCTCCCAGGAGCTAAGACCCCAGAGTTCCTCAGGCTCTGCTGAGGGCCTCCCATTTGCACAGCCTCTTTCTGCTGTTAGGAATGAAGAAAAGTCTGAACTGAAGCTGCTCCAGGCAGGAGGCCAGGCCTTCTGCTTCTCGGGTTTACTGAGGCCCTGCTTTACCTACAGAGTGTTTGGGAATAAAGAGAGGACTGGAAATCTTTGCTCTTTTCAGAAACACTTTGTATTTGTCCTGCTGACACCTCTGTCTGTGTCGGCCTTCCCATCCCCAAGTCCCATTACGGCGCAGTGCGCCTTCCTGCAGGCTGACTTCATTTCACCATCTCTTCATTCTAGACCTTGGCATTTTTGTGCAGAGGAAGTATTCCCATGTTTCTGTTTTCTTTTATCCGTCTTTCGTTTTCTTTCTTTCTTGTTTTTTTTTTTTTTTTTTTTGAGACGGCTTCTCGCTCTGTCACCCAGGTTGGAGTGCAGTGGTGCGATCTTGTCTCACTACGACCTCCACCTCCCAGGTTCAAGCAATTCTCCTGCCTCAGCCTCCCGAGTAGCCAGGACTACAGATGCACGCCACCACACCTGGCTGATTGTTGTATTTTTAGTAGAGACGGGGTTTCACCACATCAGCCAGCCTGGTCTGGAACTCCTGACCTCAAGTTATCCACCTGCCTTGGCCTCCCTAAGTGCTGGGATTACAGGTGTGAGCCACTGCACCCAGCCCTTCCTTCTTTTTCTTATTCCCCTTAACCCTCAGAAGTACTCTCTTGCCCCATTGGGGGAGGGGCATCTGAGATTATCTGGGATATTCTAAGCTTAATCCTACTAGCATGATCTGTCCTGTCCCATAATCTGCTTGCTGTTTCTGCTTAAAAGATTATGAGGCATGTGGGTTAGGTCCCAGTGTACTCTTTTTTGAGACCGAGGCATGTTCTGGGCAGGGCTTTTGAGCAAGGGAGGCAGATTTGATGAGGCCTGTGGCCAGCCTCCACTCTCCTCACAGGTGCACCACCTGTGGGCCTGTTCTCCCTGGGGAGGGATGGGGAGCCGTGTGGAATGTCAGTGTTTGGTTCCACCTGGTCAGTATAAAGTGGCAATGGTTGGTGCAGGATGTAGCAGTGGGGGCGAGCATGGCAATGAGATAGAAACACTGACTTCAAACTGGAAGGAAGCCCTTCTCCAGACTGTGCAGGGAGCTGCAGAGCTTTCTGGCGCTGGCTGCGTGGCCTGGAGAAAGGAGGTGATCGTCCCATCCTGTGGCTTTGAGAGCACTCACACAAGCCCTGAGGACTCCATGTCGGCAGAGTCCCAACAGGGGACCCTCCCACAAATCTACTGCCCAGGCCCAGCTGGCTCTCGGAGGCCTTGAGAAGGCCCTGGTGCTCTTGCTCTCTGCTGCCTTCTCTGGGACAGTCTCCTGGCTCAAAGTCTTACCACCATTCTGCCAAGAAAAACCCTCCCTGTTTGACACAAGAAGATGAGGCAGAATCACAGGCATGGTGACTAATTCTCCAGGCTGAATAACTTGGGGGAGACTGAGGCCCAGAAACTGGCCAGTGACTTTACTGAGCCTGGCCAGGAATGGGACCAGCTCTGGACAACCATTGCACTTCCCCTCCCTGGCCTGAGATCGGGACTCCCACTGCAGCCACTGGAGGCAGAATGCCGGGTCACTGTCCAGGAGAGCCCATTTGGTGGGGACTATGGCCCCATCCCTGTGGTGTTCGATTTCCCACCCCCCAGACCCTCATTCCCATGAGCACCCCACCCACACAGGCAGAGGCCTTGAGGGGACCCAGCAAGTCGTGGAGGACAGCACAGCCCCATCTGCCTTGGAGAGGAAACGTGTCAGCCACAAGGTTATGATCCCGGGAGCTCCACATAGGAGCATGGGCATGGACGTGGGTGGTCCTCCCTCAGCCAGCTTTTTAACAGCTTATCCCAAAGGTGTGCCTGGATCCAGTACCACTGAGACCCAAAGACGGGGTTGGGGGACTGAATACCTGGACTGACAGGCAGCTCCATAGAACTGAGACCCGTGAGACCAGGGACCCGCAGCCTCCCTGCCCCGTGCCCTGGTGCCAGCCCTCAGCCCAGCTTCCTCCTCTGCATGCAGCAGCTCCTCTGTCCACCAGCGGAGGCTCTTCTAGGGCCTTGCTGGGTGCAGCTGACTCAGGAGGGCAGCAGCCTCTTCAGAGAATTTGACAGCGTGGAGACCCAAACAGAAGCAGAAAGTGAAGCCTCAGAACTGGGTTCACCATCATCTCAGTTTTTTACAAGCTATGATTTTGTCCCACCTTTATTAACAAAATAAGGAAGTATGAAAAGTAATCTTGACATCCGAGATGGTGAGATTACGGATTTTTTTTTTTTTTTTTTTGAGATGGAGTTGCCCAGGCTGGAGTACAATGACACGATCTCGGCTCACTTTAACCTCTGTCTCCGGGGTTCAAGTGATTCTCCTGCTTCAGCCTCCTGAGTATGGGATTACAGGCACCCACCACGACACCCGACTAATTTTTTTTATATTTTTAGTAGAGACAGGGTTTCACCATGTTTGTCAGGCTGGGCTAGTACTCCTGACCTTGTGATCCGCCTGCCTCAGTCTCTCAAAGTGCTGGGATTACAGATGTGAGCCACTGTACCCAGCCCAGATAATTTTTATAGTTATATTTTTCTAAAATACTTTTTTAAAAAAATGAACATATACTTCATTTTTTTGTTGTTGTTGAGTTTTTGTTTTGTTTTGTTTTTTTGAGACAGAGTCTCACTCTGTCACCGAGGCCACACCCGGCTAATTTTTGTATTTTTTAGTAGAGATAGGGTTTCACCATATTGGACAGGCTGGTCTCGAACTCCTGACCTAGTGATCCACCCACCTCAGCCTCCCAAAGTGCTGGGATTACAGGCGTGAGCCACCACGCCCGGCTAAAAAAGTGAACATATATTTCATAAGCGAGAGCAGAAAATGTTTTCAAACCTGATCATGTTCTAAAAAGAGACCAGCCCAGCCCTACGTCCCCCTGCCCTGCAGGGCTAACTGTGGCTGCCCTGGGCAGCTGTGGACTCCAGGCTGAGGCCTGAGAACAAGGCACAGCCACACGACCTGTGCTAGACAAATGCTAGAATGATGGTCATGCAGGTTAGAATGAACCCAGGTAGATAGAGGCCTCAGGATCAGGGTGAGACCAGAGGGGGCACCTGAGGGGCACCTGGGTGCAAAATTTAAGGAAGCACTTTTTTTTTTTTTTTCTCCTTAAGCCACGATCTTGCTCTGTTGCCCAGGCTGGAGTGCAGGGCTATGATTGCAGCTCACTGCAGCCTCTACCTCCCAGGCTCAAGTAATCCAGTCACCTCAGCTGAGTCACTGGGGCTACAGGCTCGCTTTTTTTTTTTTTTTTTTAAGGTTTTAGTAGAGACAGGGTCTCACAGGGTCTCGCCGTATTGCCCGAGCTAGTCTGGAACTTATGGACTCAAGCCGTCCTCCCACCTCAGCCTCCCAAAGTGCTGGGATTACGGGCCTGAGCCACTGCGCCTGGCCCTGAGGCATTCGTTTAAGACCCACCCTGCATTTGGATGGCACTGAGAGTCGGGGCCTCCTTAGACGTGGGCTCCTGCATGCTTCACTGTCTTCACCTGGCCCCAGCCTCATGGGTGTAGCTCCCTTCTCTTTGGCAGCAGGAAGGACTCTAGAAGGATGTGCTGAGACCCTGGGGCTCCCTGAGACTGAGTGAGCCGGAGGTCACCAAGGCCCTCGGCCTATCCCGGGGGAGAGGTCCATTGAAAGCCAGTGGTCAGATGGCCGCTGTGGAGGGTCTCTGGGTGGACAGT